TGCTGTGGACTTTGTAAAGTGCTAGAATAAATAAAATTGTCCTTTTATATATATATATATATATATATATATAAAAGTCTAAATTGAAAACAACGTTCAAACCTATGATTGCGTTGGATAAAAACCGCAATTTTTATACGTGTGCATGTAAAACAAATTTCGTGGTAGAGGGGTCTAAATACAGCACAAACAACAATTTCCAAAAGACCAAAAAAAGTGAAAAAGTCTATTTTAACAAAACGCATTTGACTAACAGGTCGAACAACTGATGTTCTTAAACCCTGCTGACTTCCATTGGCGATTGCCAAATAAATTGGTCACCAGATCTAACAAAACGGATCTTAATATTAATTTAATACCAAACAGAAAACAACAAACTTGTGGTAAAGATGGTATACCACAAACATGAGGTGCAAAAATTTGTACACCATATCCGGATTTCGACAATTTATGTCTCTTCAGTTATGTTAGGGATCAAAACGGTATTTGGAAGGCCATATAATTTACCTCAATTTAGGAAAGACTCTTGAATTTTAAAGAGTCGAAATAGGATGAACGGATCATATAAACCCGAAGGAAAATATAATACAAGCCCAAACGAAAAAATATATAAAAGTCTAAATTGAAAACAACGTTCAAACCTATGATTGCGTTGGATAAAAACCGCAATTTTTATACGTGTGCATGTAAAACAAATTTCGTGGTAGAGGGGTCTAAATACAGCACAAACAACAATTTCCAAAAGACCAAAAAAAGTGAAAAAGTCTATTTTAACAAAACGCATTTGACTAACAGGTCGAACAACTGGTGTTCTTAAACCCTGCTGACAGCCATTGGCGATTGCCAAATAAATTGATCACCAGATCTAACAAAATGGATCTTAATATTAATTTAATACCAAACAGAAAACAATAAACTTGTGGTAAAGATGGTATACCACAAACATGAGGTGCAAAAATTTGTACACCATATCCGGATTTCGACAATTTATGTCTCTTCAGTGATGTTAGGGATCAAAACGGTATTTGGAAGGCCATATAATTTACCTCAATTTAGGAAGGACTCTTGAACTTTAAAGAGTCGAAATAGGATGAACGGATCATATAAACCCGAAGGAAAATATAATACAAGCCCAAACGAAAAAATATATAAAAGTCTAAATTGAAAACAACGTTCAAACCTATGATTGCGTTGGATAAAAACCGCAATTTTTATACGTGTGCATGTAAAACAAATTTCGTGGTAGAGGGGTCTAAATACAGCACAAACAACAATTTCCAAAAGACCAAAAAAAGTGAAAAAGTCTATTTTAACAAAACGCATTTGACTAACAGGTCGAACAACTGATGTTCTTAAACCCTGCTGACTGCCATTGGCGATTGCCAAATAAATTGATCACCAGATCTAACAAAATGGATCTTAATATTAATTTAATACCAAACAGAAAACAATAAACTTGTGGTAAAGATGGTATACCACAAACATGAGGTGCAAAAATTTGTACACCATATCCGGATTTCGACAATTTATGTCTCTTCAGTGATGTTAGGGATCAAAACGGTATTTGGAAGGCCATATAATTTACCTCAATTTAGGAAAGACTCTTGAATTTTAAAGAGTCGAAATAGGATAAACGGATCATATAAACCCGAAGGAAAATATAATACAAGCCCAAACGAAAAAATATATAAAAGTCTAAATTGAAAACAACGTTCAAACCTATGATTGCGTTGGATAAAAACCGCAATTTTTATACGTGTGCATGTAAAACAAATTTCGTGGTAGAGGGGTCTAAATACAGCACAAACAACAATTTCCAAAAGACCAAAAAAAGTGAAAAAGTCTATTTTAACAAAACGCATTTGACTAACAGGTCGAACAACTGGTGTTCTTAAACCCTGCTGACAGCCATTGGCGATTGCCAAATAAATTGATCACCAGATCTAACAAAATGGATCTTAATATTAATTTAATACCAAACAGAAAACAATAAACTTGTGGTAAAGATGGTATACCACAAACATGAGGTGCAAAAATTTGTACACCATATCCGGATTTCGACAATTTATGTCTCTTCAGTGATGTTAGGGATCAAAACGGTATTTGGAAGGCCATATAATTTACCTCAATTTAGGAAGGACTCTTGAACTTTAAAGAGTCGAAATAGGATGAACGGATCATATAAACCCGAAGGAAAATATAATACAAGCCCAAACGAAAAAATATATAAAAGTCTAAATTGAAAACAACGTTCAAACCTATGATTGCGTTGGATAAAAACCGCAATTTTTATACGTGTGCATGTAAAACAAATTTCGTGGTAGAGGGGTCTAAATACAGCACAAACAACAATTTCCAAAAGACCAAAAAAAGTGAAAAAGTCTATTTTAACAAAACGCATTTGAATAACAGGTCGAACAACTGATGTTCTTAAACCCTGCTGACTGCCATTGGCGATTGCCAAATAAATTGATCACCAGATCTAACAAAATGGATCTTAATATTAATTTAATACCAAACAGAAAACAATAAACTTGTGGTAAAGATGGAATACCACAAACATGAGGTGCAAAAATTTGTACACAATATCCGGATTTCGACAATTTATGTCTCTTCAGTGATGTTAGGGATCAAAACGGTATTTGGAAGGCCATATAATTTACCTCAATTTAGGAAAGACTCTTGAATTTTAAAGAGTCGAAATAGGATGAACGGATCATATAAACCCGAAGGAAAAATATATATATATATATATAAGTCTAAATTGAAAACAACGTTCAAACCTATGATTGCGTTGGATAAAAACCGCAATTTTTATACGTGTGCATGCAAAACAAATTTCGTGGTAGAGGGGCCTAAATACAGCACAAACAACATTTTCCGAAAGACCAAAAAAGTGAAAAAGTATATTTAAACAAAACGCATTTGACTAACAGGTCGAACAACGGATGTTCTTCAACCCTACTGACTGCCATTGGCGATTGCCAAATAAACGGATCACAAGATGTAACAAAATGGATCTTTATTTAATTTATTAATTCAATAATACCAAACAGAAAACAATAAACTTGCGGAAAAGATGGTATACCGCAAACATGAGGTGCAAAAATTTGTACACAATATCCGGATTTCGACAATTTATGTCTCTTCAGTGGCGCAATAGTGCCAGAGACATTTAAAACTTTTTTCAATTTAAAAAAAAAAAATAAAAATTGTGTTCAACAGTAAACTTTCTTAAAAAAAAATCTATATAGCTAAAATAGGGTAAAAAGTGCAATAAAAGGGGGTTTTAGAGCCTATTTTGATCAGGTGTTGTAAAAAAATGCAGCCATTTCTTATATTGTTGATTATATGAATAGAGAGAATGGATTAAGGTTATACAAGAAAAGAAAAAAAATCAGTGGGCAAACTTGACTGTGTTGAAATTAATTGACCCTGAAAAGTTGAGTTGTCCTGTATTTACCTAATCAAATTACCTCCCTTTACGGAGTTCTCTTGTAGAGAAACAAATTAAAAACAGGAGGGAAAATGTAAACAAATGCAGACAACAATGTTATTTTGCGAATTTCTTCATGTTTTATATTCAAGCATAATGTGAAATGGATAAATTTTTCACAGTGATGTTAGCCTACACTTATATATATGGTTAAGTTGGTGTGATTTGCTCATATTTTGAAAATATTGTCAGAACAATGGAACTGTGTCTGTACTAAGTCTAAGACAGTGTATTTTATAGTTTATTTTGCTTACCGTAACTAACTTTTTTAATGTATTTATTTATATAATCTTCGAATAATTGTTATAAAATGTGTAGCATAAAAGATTTCGTAGACAATTGTGACAACTGCAGTGACGACAGGTATTTTTGAAAATGCTTCCATTGGAAAAAGAGACATGTAAAAATTTTTGTCAGAAATTTCTTTACTTAAATCTGACCATACATTGTACGTCACAACTGAGGATCTGTGATATTCATAGAAATATTATCATCGAAACAACTAACAAGAGATATAGAAGGAAAGATTGTGGTGTGCCTTCAGTAAATGTCATTTTGAAATATCATAATACTACAAAAGCAGTGGATCGACATGTTACACCCGAGATGTTTCAAAGAATTGTTACAAAGACAGGCATTTTAATTGCTATTGGAACATGTAAGTAGATACTATTTACCTAATACTATTTTTCTTTAAAAAAGATACAGTGATAAACCTCTTATAAAAAAGAAATCAAATGCAGCTGTCAGGTACCCCCCCCCCCCCCCCCCCCCCCCAAAAAAAAAAACAAACAAAAAAAACCTTAGGGTTAATATTATCTACCATTTGGCTATGAACCTTAAGCTTATTGTTTTTAGCATGTGACAGCCATATGAACTTCTTTAATACCCCCTTTTTAAACTATAAAACATAAAATTATGTGAAGTTCTTTGAATCTTGTTTTTGAGAGACAAAAATTATAACATGAATGCTGTTTCACGTTTCCTTTCCTTTACCAGATTTGTAAGGTTTTGTACATGATAATCACATCATTTCATACTGGTCCTTATGAAATAAAAAATGTTGCAGCAACAATGCTGCAATGTTGCGGCTGCTGATCAGGTTGCCAGAAAATTGATGCCGGATAAGTGCTGAATGACGCTGCTAGCATCATTCTGGCAACAGTGCAGCGCTATTTCCTTTCATGACAAAAAGCGCCACAATGTTGCCATAAAGCACACATATAATTTTCTCATTCTTAATCTACTAAAATGATGCCAGAATAGAGCCAGAACATTGATAATGTCATTGATGATGTCACCAGTGTTTGAGCTTTTTACTGTGGTCATGGTGGTGTGTAAGAAGTGGACCATATGTTGCTTGAGCTTATGATTTTAGTGAAGAATTGGGTGTTCTGTTATTGAGAAGACTTGTATGAAAACTTAGATTAACATGATTAATTAAATGCATTATATAAAAGTTCAATCTCTCATTTAATTAAATCAAGGAAATAGTCTTCTTCCTGATAGACCTGGAGAGCATTTTCAAAAAATCCTAATTAACAGGGACGAACTATCATCTAATGGGGCGAATTGGTACCTTCTGAAACATAAGTCATGGTTTCTCTTCCCTTTCTCAATTTAACCCTTGCTAAAATTTTACAGAGCATGCTGAAAGAAGTTTGGTCAATTATGTCTTTGTAACCCTCTAAAGACGGCTTGAAAGTGCTATTTGTTTGGAAAAAAATGTAGTATAATCACGAATTTAGATTGCTAATCAGACAAAACACAACACCTTTGACTGAAGTGAAGGGGCTCCTGTTGGGATCATGGAAATTATGTTGGTGTTATTGAAGGTATAGATGTTGCATGTTGACAGTTCATGAGTTACACATTTTAACTTTCCTTTTCCTCAATGTGGGAAAATTAAGTACATTACATATAGGAATAACTTCTGAGGACAGAACTTTACTTTCTTTAAAAGAAAAAAGTTATAATAATAACCCTGAGCACACAAAAAAATCATAACGTTAAATAAAGGAGTTAAAACTTTTTCTCGGGTATTCTTATCACTAAACTTGCCTGGTCAGACGTTACTTTACCTTTTTAGTCAATAATTAAAGGAAGCCAGAATTTAAAGGCATTAGTGGCGCAATAGTGCCAGAAAACTAATTTGCATACAAAATAAAAAACAATATCTGCATTGAAGCCACAACATGTTGCGGCAACGAAGCCACAGCATTTTCTGGCACCAGTGCCAGAAAACTAATTTGCATATGAAATACACTAATGCAGCATCATTGCCACAACATGTTGGTGCAATGAAGCCGCAACATAGCCCTAATGTTGTCACAACTACATGTATGCGCCAGAAGGCTTATATTCCGATAAGGGCGCGGACAGCCTTCTTATACTCATGTTTACTTGAGATACATGTATGTTTTAAAATTCATGTTTTTATGTACATACATGTACATGTATATGACCCAACAAAAAAGTATGTGGGTTTACTGTACACCTACCTACCCTAATTTCAGTATATGACCCAACAAAAAAGTATGTGGGTTTACTGTACCCCTACTTACCCTAATTTTTGTCCCCTACCCTAAAGTTTTTTTGACTATTTTTGATTAAGTACTGTTAAAGTCACAATGTTGCTCCCATAGACTCAATGTAAAAAAAAAAAAAAAAATCCCTACCTACCTACCCTTTTTTATTCAGCAAGTGACAGTAAACACACATATTTTTTTGTTTGGCCTAAATAGTTTTGATAGTGATACACAGAATGAGATCAATTGTGTATCTATTTTCTTTTATATTACAGCAATGTGTAGACTGTGTAGAGAAAAACTATTTGGAAATAACAATATTGAGCATGTTGAGGAGGTATGTCTTTTCATATACATGTATAAATATGATTCCCTGTACACATGTATACTCAATAGTCAATAGTGAGTTTATTATGTCATGTATGTATGGGATCCATATTGTAACTACATGTCAAACTGCATATGTACTCAGTTTTACTATGACAAGAATAAGAAGATCTTTCAATTCAGAAATAACATTAAACTTTAAAGTTCCAATTTGGTCTTCATATTCACTAAGCTTTTGCACATTTTATTTGGTAAACTAGTTTCATCATTAAGCATTAGTAAAAAATCTATTAAAATAAAAACCAAGATTTTAATTGATCTAATTTACATGTACACTTAGGGCCAATAGGGGTTAAACTATGCATTCATGCATGCATAATTGAGGGTAAATTAAGGGTAAATTTCTAAATCATTTGTGTATAAAACATACCTCAACTGAACCCTAACCCATTCATATACTACTAAACCCTCTAAGATAGGTTGGTTTTTGCTTCAATATTATCATGTGTATTCCAGAATTCATTATTGTTCCAATTTCAATTAGTACCTTGTTTAAAATATTCTTAAAAAGTTTTTCTTTTCTTTTAATTTAGGAGAACACTATTGAGACAAATACAAAGAACAAGATTACAGAAGCTGAAATACTACCACCTTAAAGAAAGAGGGTAGGTATAACTGTATATAAAATAGTATCATTGCATACACTTTATAAGAAGTCTCATAAACTTGACTTTATAAGATATCTTGTAAAAGTATTTAAGATATCTTGTATAATATCAGATTATTACATGGCATTTTTCATATCGCATGTATTATCAGCCCTAGGTTTAATATCAGCCCAAGAGCCGCATGGCTTGAGGGCTGATATTGGCCGAGGGCTGATAATACATGTGATATGAAAAATGACATGCTATGATCTTTTTATCATATGCTTCAACAATGGAGAAAAATAACAGATTAATATATTGATCTTTTTACGTGGTTCTTAAATAGCAGTTCAAAGAGTGAAATATTATAAGTTACATAGTGTGCTAGTGACCTAATACGGTATATATGGGGTCAGTAAATTCCATATGGGGTGAGAGCAAAGCTTAACTGTGTATGAAATAAGCCCCGCCTCCTTTCTAACCTTATATGGAATATAAAGGGGACGTAACTCCACTACTAACTGTGTATGAAATAAGGCCCGCCTACCTTCTAACCTTATATGGAATATAAAGGGACATAACTCCACTACTAACCGTGTATGAAATAAGCCCCGCCTCCTTACTAACCTAATATGAAATATACACAGTCTCGCCGCGGACGCTTTAAACCAATCATATTCCTAGAAATGTATAGGAGGTAAGATAATCACGGATGTCAGACCCCAAATGTTGTACAATCGATATGAAATCTTTCTATCATATGCCTCAACAATGAAGAAAAAAAACCAGTATGTTATATTTTAATACGGACGATAAAAAAATAATTCAACAATATACATAATAAACACTGTTTGGAAAAGTCAACATTTTTAAAGTAACTTTCTTAATTATGTTAAAAATGCATTTATTTTATCATTTGTTTATTGTTTGTTTTTTTCCATTTTACACAATATACTTTCCAGTATACAAATAATTGTTTTGTACCCTACTTTGTAATGTTTTTCACTGAAAACGTTCCATTGAGGTGTATTTTCCAGAATTTGCCGAGTATTACCAGAATGCCATGATATAACGTTACGGAAAGGCATGTGATAAAAGTCGAAGCATGTGATAAACTTTTCATATCAGACCGCTAAGCACCAATTCGAAAAAATATGGAATATACATAAATGTAATGCTATTATCATATGGTAAAAATCATATGTTATTTAGTCTAAGTATATGATAATATATTTTATATCTTTCATGAGATATCTTATAAAGAAGTTTATAAAGATATCTCATATAACTTTAGAAGATATAAGATTTTCAAGATATCCAATTAGGAGCTTACTGTATTGAATTTGCAGATTTGGAGCCATCAATCATGGATTTGATGGTCGCAAATTGAGTTTACTAGCGACACGTTAGCGGAGCCAGTAAATGGATATTTGCGACCATCAAATCATAGATTGATGGCTCCAAATCTTCAGATTGATATATACCCTGAAAATTACGACTTTATCCAATGAAATTTGACGTACGTACGTTACAACGAATGTTGCATTAGAATGAATGTTATAGGACATCTGATATAATTTATAAGATATCTTATAAAACAATTTTGTAAGATCTCTTATTGTCCCCCACCGGAGGGGACATAGAAATACCGGTGTCCGTCCGTCCGTCCGTCCGTCCAAAATCAGTTTCTGGACCGTAACTTTTGAGCACCTTCATATAATTTTTTCAAACTTAAACAGTTGAATGTTTATTAGGTAAGGAAGATCCGTATTGATTTTGATGTTTATAGGTCAAAGGTCGAGGTCACAGATACTTAATGATGTTGAATTTTCAGCTGACAATCGGTTTCTGGACTGTTACTTTTGAACACCTTCATATTATTTCTTCAAACTTACACAGTTGAATGTTATTAGGTAAGGAAGATCCCTATTGATTTTGATGTTTCTAGTCATTCAAAGGTCAAGGTCACAAGTGCTTTATGGAAATATTATATTTTAGCACCAGTGGGGAACCCCGGAGCCTCCTCTTGTTTAGTTTATAAGATATCTTATTTATTTTATAAGATATCTCATGAATTAGATATAAGATATTTCACTAACTTTATTTGATATCTTATCTTTTTATTCAGACATAGGAGCCCTATAGTAATCAGCTTTCCGTCTGTCCGTCACAAACAGTTTTCACAAAATAAATCAAAAAGGCTATCACAAATCAATGTGAAAGTTTGATGGCTACCTATCAAAAAGCAGGGATATCACTAGTGAGCAATGACTCACAGCACATCTTGTTTTATATTGTGTCTATCAGAATTCATTTAGTATCCAATCTTTTGTAGGCACTTGATAAAGTACCAGGGAAGCGTTACAGGGTGAAGGTTGTTGAAACAATCCTTGATTTAGATGTAACCAAGAATAAAGAAACTATAACCAATATTACAAGTTTTTACAACTTTAGATTTGAGAGCAGTCATTTGAGGATGTGGCAAACATACAATATTGATGAAGGTATTACTTTTATATTCAACATAAAGAAAAAAACAGATTACAAATAACATATAGTTTTAAACATAACACAACCACTGAAAATACAGGGTCTGGCTTGTACACAGGTGGGTAAAAGAAGTCTATAAGTACTCAACCCTCCTCCGAAATCCTGGTTCAGAGGTTATAAGTCTATAAAGACAATTAAAAGCAATACCAATACTAAATTCAATAAGCTCAGCACTTCATCTTAAAACATAAAAAATTAAATCATCTTAATAAAAAGGTTGCATTGAGCCTATTGATAAAAAGACCACAAACTCCTAGACTAAAATGGATGCTATAAAAATTCACGTAATTTTATATCATAACGACATGAAAAATCTATAGAGTTTATGATCTTGAAGTTGGTTATTTTTTTTAAACTTCCATATTGATCAATTTAACAAACAATAAAATGAATACAGGTTCTTTAATTACAATTTTCATTTCAGGAAAGCTTGTGACTTTAAAATCAACAAAGAATTCTGTGCAGTTAAAAGTACTCAATGACTGGACAGAGATGTCTTTTAATGACCTCATTACTGAAGGTAATTTTATAATTATTTCATTTACTAACTGTCATGTACAAAACTTAAGCACACTTGTAAGACAATGAGCATTATTATATTTTGTCACAACAACCGAGAAAACCAACACAAAACTCAAATAAACATTGTTATGCATCATTTAAATTCCCTGCTTGTGGGTTTCAGGATTATGGGTATCGACAGAATCTTATTATAGATAATCAGGCTGTCCATTGTTGAAAGAGAAATTTATACATGTTGTATCGTTGTCCTTTTTAGGTCACCTGGCCCATTTTGAGTCCGTCTGGCATAAACTTTTTCAAAAATCTTCTGATACAACTGGGCCAATTGGAACTGAACTTGGTTAATGTAGTAAATTTGAATTTTTCTATTTTTTTGGGAAACAATTTTTATTTTATTTATCCTCTTTTTTAGGAACAGAACAGGCTTCAAAACAACAGAAGCAGACATTCATTTGTTCTATGGATGGCTGCATTAAAGAGTTCAAGAACCAGATTAGTCTTGATCAACACCTCCTTCAAGGCAGCTGTGAATATAAGCTAGAGGAAGGCCCATTAAAAGATCAGGCAAAAGTTCTATATGCCCAAAAGCTGTCAAATAATGTACATCATTGTCCTGATATGCAAGCAGTCTTACTAGAAAATGCATTTACTACAGACTTGAGTGCCAAAGAAATGTGATGGGCATTGAAAGTGAAAAAGAAAAAGATTTTCTTTAGCATCAAACAGAAAGAATTCATGACGGATTTATTTTATTTATCTTGAAAGGATGCAAGAAGCAGCCATATTGGATTCAACGACATTATATTTTCCCAATAAACAGGCGAAATAGAAAAAAAAAATGCCTACCTTAAACTACTTTTAATAGCTTATATCCAAATTTGAAGCATAAACAAAGCCCCAAAATATACTATATGTTACAGTTTTACACTTGAAGTATTCATATGACGTCATGATGTTGCTATGAAGATTATGTGCCAAAGAAGTCAACAACATTTTGTGGAATTTTTATTTTAAGCAACTATATGTCCAAATAAAAAACAGAAACAATATCTTTATTGACTATTGCATTAGAATGGATATAACTGTATTGTATTTTAAGGTTTGTGGACGTAAATCTAGATTTTACTGTTGCAATTATCCGTTTACCTAGCTCTGCTACAGGTCGCTAGGTAAACTCAATTTGCGACAGTAATAACTACATTTTATGTCCGAAAAGGTTAAAATACAATACAGTTATCTCCTAAATTACCTACACATGATTGCACCAATAGGAGTTTAATATAATGAAACTTGCATGTACTTAGAAGGTGTTTTATTCTCATTTTAAATATTTAAGTCGGACCAGCATTTAACCCACATTGCTTTATAAATAGCAAACTTTGTTGATCTGTATCAGTTAAAAACTAATATGCACAATCAGTTCTTTCTTCCCTCTGTATTCAATTACAAAATTAAATCTTTAAAAATGTAAAGATACATACTTAATTTTAGAAAGAAAAAAAAATTGTAAAATTTTCGAAATTCGGTTACCATAGCAACCATTTTTATTAAATTTCATTAAACAAAACTATTTTTCTGGACTGAAAAATTTAACTGATCAATTTTGTTAAATTGTAAGAAATTTAATGCCATCTTTGTATTGTTTAAATATGGAAATTACTTGGATCATTATTGACTTGTAGAAAAATACAATTTAAAGAATTTGAAAATCTTGTGTTTTTCATTCATTAAAAATATTTTTTGCAATTATTTGCCCATTGATTTTATTTTATATTCTGGAAGACCTATATTGGTTCTTTCTAAATATACCTAACATTTTACTAGGAGATGCTGCCTTCAAGAAAAAAATTCCATTGAATACCCTGTATTTACGCATTTTTCACTGAAATCCAAATTTGCCATTTTAGCATATCTTTACTAGCTGGTAGCAAAATAACTGATAATGGTAAAAGTAAAACATATGTGAATTTCAAACAGCTTGAAGGTCAGTTATATTATATTATTCAGAAAAAAAGGATATGTTACAAATAAATCAAGTACTAAACAGTGCAAAATGTCGTTTTTTCACTTTTTCAAGAGTTAAAATATGACCTTTTATTGCTAAAATCAACCTATGTGGTTTCCATGGCAACCGGAATATTCCGGAACAATTTGTTGCCTGTTATTGCCTTTAGGTATGGTACTGGCTATTATATAAAAGTTTCATCAAAATCTGAGACCATGTGTGCCAGACCCTATTAGAATTTCTTTGGTGGTTACAGAGAATTGCTCTTAATGTCTCTTCAGTGATGTTAGGAATCGAAACGGTATTTGGAAGGCCAATTAATTTGCCTCAATTTAGGATAGACTTTTGAATTCTAAAGAGTCGAAATAGGATGAACGGATCATATAAACCCGAAGGCAAATATAATACAAGCCCAAACGAAAAAATATAAATAAGTCTAAATTGAAAACAACGTTCAAACCTATGATTGCGTTGGATAATACCGCAATTTTTATACGTGTGCATGCAAAACAAATTTCTTGGTAGAGGGGCCTAAATACAGCACAAACAACATTTTCCAAAAGACCAAAAAAGTGAAAAAGTATATTTAAACAAAACGCATTTGACTAACAGGTCGAACAACGAATGTTCTTAAACCCTGCTGACTGCCATTGGCGATTGCCAAATAAACGGATCACAAGATGTAACAAAATGGATCTTTATTTAATTTATTAATTCAATAATACCAAACAGAAAACAATAAACTTGCGGAAAAGATGGTATACCGCAAACATGAGGTGCAAATATTTGTACACCATATCCGGATTTCGACAATTAATGTCTCTTAAGTGATATTAGGAATCGAAACGGTATTTGGAAGGCAATATAATTTACCTCAATTTAGGATAGACTTTTGATATATATATATATATATATATATATAAATTGTAAACTTATTGTCATAGTCCTTATCTTAGACTTTTATACCACACTGTGTCATATCTCAGTCCTCATACATGTAATCAGATGCGTATCCAGATTTCGAAAAAGAGAGGGGGGCTTAAGGCCCCTCAAACTAGGTAATCTATATCAGGAACAGGTAAAAAGTCGCTATAAACCATAAATGTAGCTCCACAAAGGGGTGCACGCACTCTGCCCCCTAAATCTGCCTCTGGTTATAGGAAAATTTTACCTCAAGTGAGCCAACTAAAGTAGCTATCATTTCCTTGTAATATTCAGCAGTAAACCCTGAGTTTCTTTTTACATTTGTATTTTATCTTCTTACTCATAACAGTTGTATTAATGAATGCTTTGCAATTATTATCAACGTTTAAATGTATAAATAAATACCCTTATAATCTTTATAAAACTACATTCCTTTTATAAAATACCAGAATAAAAGTACATCATGTTGCTTCATATTTCTTCCTTTTTAAATCGTTTTGAATATCCCAAAAACACTTGAACATGTTAAAAACAAGGGGGCAGTTATACATTTTTGAAAATCATTGAAGTCATCTGCAATACCCATGACAGTTAGAAATTCACCCCTGCAGGCAATTAACTGTTTTGTTGACATCTGTTTATTACCTACAGTATGTACATTTTAATTTCTGATTATTACAAATACAATGTTGACTCCCTGATTATTACATAAATGCATATTAATCTAGAAAATAATCTAGTTCGTGTCTGTTTGAGAATTAATTTAAAAATAAATTTGCTCCTAAAAAATATTTTTGTACCAATAATACAGGTACAAAATATATAATATATTTACTGAATATGAATAAATGACCATGAAATTTGAAATTAGAATATTCTAATTACAAATTTCATGGTCATATATTCTAATTTCAAATTTCATGGTCATATATTCTAATTTCAAATTTCATGGTCATTTATTCATATTCAGTAAATATATTATATATTTTGTACCTGTATTATGGTACAAAAATATTTTTTAGGAGCAAATTTATTTTTAAATTAATTCTCAAACAGACACGAACTAGATTATTTTCTAGATTAATATGCATTTATTCACCCGAGACCAAAGGACGAGGATGCTAACAGCTATAGGACACTGTACTATAATCAACAATGAGCAGAACCCATTGGGTATAGTGAGAATAAAAGGCCCAGCATGATAAACTCTGAATATTCAAAAGAGAAAACCAATGCCATGATTTATGTTCTAATAAACTTAAATAAAAATAAGGAGATGTGGCATGCCACCTAAAGAAATGTTGTATGATTACCAATGAGACTATAAAAGATCTATACACAAGAGTTCAAATGACAAAAATATAAGCAGTGATAGGTCATTGTTTGGCCTTCAACAATGAGAAACCCATATCAAATGTATAGTCAACTATAAAATTCCTGACATGAAAAATGTAAAACAACCTACATTTTGTAAATGAGAAAAAATGGCCTATAAATCTACATGTATGTCTAGATCTGTTTGTATAAAAGAACCGTCAGTTGTTGATGTTTTAGGTTGCCCTCTTGGGCCCATCTATTTTTTAAACATCTAGATGTCTGGGTTATTTGTCTCGTTGGGTTGATATCTCATTTATATGTATCCTACATCTACTTTTATTCATTAAAAGTTTGGCCCAATCTCAATGATTTAATTATGCTGAAGGTGAAAGGCACAATATTTTTGAAATATCAGAAAACTTGCTATACACATGTATATATTTCAAATAATATGTTAAATAGTGTGTCAAACAATTTGGAATTGATAATACATGTAGATATTTAAGTTGTAAATGAGGAGGAGGAGGATACTTTTATTGTTCAGACAGAAGTGTTTGTTTTGGATCTTACACATTTGAATTTTCAATATTATAAATTGGCATATTGTTATTATCCAAGATTTAATATGCAACATTTTAGCATAGACATATATACATGTCTCTGATTTTTGTTTAATAGCTCCTGCATTATGACATGTATGACTGGGACAGTGTTATAACATGTTAGTACAAAAGGGGACGGTGTTATATGGACCTGTTAAGTTCTTAAATTTTGTAAAATGATATTCGGATTCAGCTTGGAAGGAGGGACGGAAGGTGAGAGTCAGGCAAACGAGAGTCAGGGACGGGACCCTGGCAAGAGGGGCAGTATAACAGGGATAATTCTGGGAAAGCTTTTGACCGATTTTCATCTTGGAGTACGGGGAGGGAAGTGGGGAATATGAAAGTGGGAATCAGCTGGGACCCCCTGTCCACCCCCTCTGATAAAATATCCCCGCTGAGCTGTCCCCGATTATTTGGATGCTGAGGCTAAATTTAATACTATTAATGCTAGAAATGATCACCTGTCCATTTTAGATTATTTTGTTATAAATGTTAAGGACGAAGAACAGGATTTCAATGAAGAGCTGTATAACCAAACCCCCCTTTTTTATGAAAATGTTTGGTCTGGCCATCAGTATCAACATTTAATTATCATTCAAGGAGTTATTTCACCCAACAAACACTCTTGTACACAAGGAATGTACGCAAACATATCAAAACTGTCAAAACGTTTTTAAACAATGTACTTACGTTACTTCAATCAGACGCTGCAAATAATTATCAAATGACAAATGGCACGAAATCATAGCGTGGATAGTTTCGGAAGATATCGGGATTCTACTCCATTCTTACATTTATACGAATGAGCTATTGCCGAATTCGATATACTGTTTTCAATATATATAGTGCGTGACAATATTAGAAGACATTATCATTTTTCATTTGGTTATTGAAAAATATTATAACAGCTGGGACTATTATATTATAAAAAGTTTTCAAAAAACGAAACTCATGTTAACTAAAAAGTGTATCCAATACAGGTGCCAATTATGTCTCTTTATATTAATGTGTTTATTTAATGGTCTTTAATTATTCATCAATTATTTGTTTTTATTTCGATTTACTTGTATTGACTCTCTGCTTACCAAAGGGAAGCAATCCGTATATTATTTTGATACACTGAACACTACTTGACAACAATTCTATCGATGAACTGACATGATCTAAAACGTACTTAACTCTACTGAATTGAATGCAAGGCGTTTTTTCTTAATTACCTGAACCAGTACTGACCGCTCGAGGTAGCCAGTGTACTGAACATGTACTGGACAACTGAAAAAAAGTCTTGACATTTTTCCTTGCTGTAAATTCAGGCATTTAAGAGTTGATCAGTTTAAAATGACCGTTTCAGTAGTGAAAACAGTTACTAGTGCTTCCTATTTTGTTAACACCGAACTACCAAGGTTTTCGTATACGTAGAAAAAAATAATAAAAATGTTCTATGCAGTGCTGTGAGGTGCAGTAATATCAATAGGGTTAGAAAAACACATTACAATGCTAACATCAATTTAAAGATAACAGAAGCTATTAATGTTACCAAAGAAAGTAAAACAACCTAGTGTCACAAAAAATGTACAGTCAACCCAGGATCCAACATCATTAGCACATACAGCACTCGTGTATTTTAATATAATGAAGGATAGATCAGTAAAAAGTAAAACAACAAAAGTACCGAATTCCAAGGAAAATTCAAACCAGAACTCCCTAAACAATTGGCAAAATCAAAAGCTCAAACACATCAATCGAATGAAAAACAACTGTCATATTCCTGACTTGGTACAGACATTTTTTTATGTAGAAAATGGTGGATTAAACCTGGTTTTAAAGCTAGCTAAACCTCTCAGTAACCGATATCATACAATGCATCATTTGTCCTTGAAATTACTGACAATGGTTTATTCGCAGCAGTGGAGAATTTTTAATATTCTGTTCATCTTCACGTTGTATTGCTTTCTGCCATGTTTACAAATTGAGAAATAATTCTTTCATGTCATACTCTATGCTCATTGTCATTGTAGGCACTTTAGTGGTCAATATCTTAATACCGAGCTGAATGTTGACAAACTATAATGCCTACCTATATTAAAATGAGCACAAAGCATATCATGGCAGAATTATATCGATTCTATTTAAATTTGTTAATTTACGAGTCATTATAATTATTATACTGACGGAAACATTGCTTTAAGAAATACATTTGCTTATCAAATTGATGATGATGATGATGATGATGATGATTAAGGAATCATTAGCTTACAGATGTTCAGATTTCGGATATCCATTGATAAGAGACAAATTAAGGTAACAAACGAAAACGGAGGGAAGTAAAACCAAGGAGTAAATCAACAAGACAAAGAAAAAACAAATCACCAGCACCTACCAATAAAATACACCGAAACAGCAATGTGGGAATACCAAATCCTTTCAATATGATGCGAATGTTATTGAGGATTAAATAGTAGCATATAATCTAGACATCTTAGTACAGCAATAGCAGTTATGTTGCCAGTATGACATGGTCATGTTTTAATAAGGTTTAACAAATGCAAATAAAAACCGACGCCTTACTCCAAACAATATCTTATCCACTCAATATCTGTTGCAAAAATATATTTTTGTGTAATGCTTTGCATGATATATAAATATGAATTCCTGGCCTTAACTTGGGACTAACTTGCCAATTTACAGTTTTTCATTACATGAAAGAGGTCTCACAAGTGAAAGGTTTAGCAAGCTATAAAACCAGGTTTTATCCACCATTGTCTACACCAGAAAATGTCTGTACCAAGTCAGGAATATGACAGTTGTTTTCCATTCGTTTGATGTGCTTGAGTTTTTGATTTTGCCATACGATAAGACATTTTTCATTTTGATTTTTCCTTGGAGTTTTGTATTTTTGTTATTTTACTTTTTAAGTTCTTAATAATAAATGAAAGAAAAAAAATCAGCCGAATGAAAAGTGTAATTTTATACTATTCACATAACTCACCCAGTTTTGATTGTTTACATTTGCTCCTCGTTTTAAACACCTCTTTAACGTCTCCATGTGTCCGTATCGAGCGGCATCTAATAAATCCTGCACAAAATTAAAACACTTGTTCATATTATTGTAATGAAGATAACGATCACGAAATACAAAAGCTGAACAGATTGGCATCAAATGTGTGTTTAACTTTTAATCGCGTTCCGAATAAGTAATACTATACAAACTCGTTGTCTTGGGTAAAGAAAAGAGACAATTTGAATAGTTACAAGCAAAGCAATGGGTTTTTTTTACATTTGCACTTTTTTTGGAACGTATGACTGCAGGCAAATGTGAAATTAGCAAACCCATTTTTCTTTTTTCCATTAATTTCTTGAACCTTTTTTACTCTTGCCATCAAGCCGATAACATACAGAAGAGTCAACAATCCGACAAATAGTTTGATAACTGTCTGTTATGAATCCTTTATTCTGTCAACGATTCATTAAAACCATATTCTTATCAATGTAAGCAAATATTTGGATGTTATCTGAAAAACTCCAGATTGTTTTGAACATATATTTATCATTTCTCCACCTACACTTACTCTTACCAAATTGTATAGTGATTGGTTTACTTTTGAATCTTGATATTATAATTTTACATGGAACATGTGGAATTATTCATACCAAAAACGACCGACTTTTCTTCCTTTATGTTAATTCTCTTTTCTTTTCCTTGATGGCGATGATTCGATGACTTCTTATGAAGTGTATATTTCTCATTTTGTTCGATTTGCTGAGTGTTTGCACAGAAGTTTGGAATTTAAAATTAACTTTATACATGTAATATGTACCTTACTTAAACAAAACTAGGAGGGATAGAGATATTGTGTTCATCATTTTAATTAAGATTGATTGTAAAAGTACGATTCCACTTCCATTTAATAAAAAGTGATTTTTATTATTCAACATTTGACATTAATAGTGATTTTAAAGCTAGCAGAATCAGTATAAGTTTATGTCCTTCAAATCAGACGCCTTGGCTTATCGATAACGGTTATGATTATAGGTCATTGCTATTAGGATCATTACGTAATCAAGTACTTATGCAGCCCAGCTTTGCCATTGTTGGTGTTCAGGCGTTCCTGAATAAGGTAAATACAGATCAGCACTTCGGACGCGCTAATTGTGAATACCTTATGTGATTCAACTGTATATTTCTAAAATATTTATACGACACCACTGTGTCTACCCAATGTATTCCATTAGGCTGGTGATATGGAAGTGGTCAAGGCCAGGCCGCTGTCAGTTTGTTTTCGACCTATAAGTTTGAATGTCCCTTTGGTATCTTTTGCATCTATCTCGTAATTGCCATACACGTTATTGTCGCGAGAGAGGATACTATAACCGCTTCTAGACGTGTTAGGCTATTTTTGGAATTAGGTTTTTGTCTATTAATGTATACCTAAAAGCTAGTTCATTCATATTTGGATAAAATTTTACATTTTGACTGATGTATTTATTTTATACCTTTCATAACTTATCTGTTGGTAAATGGAGACATGACTAAAACAGTAAGATCCAAAAAGACTCATGCAGTGTTAATCTTAGGTTGATATTTTAAGGTTAACTTTAATTATTTGGATCATTACGTAATCAAATCTGTACACAGCCCTGCTTTGCCATTGTTAGTGTTCAAGTGTTCCTGAATAAGGTAAATAAAGATTATCACTTTGGACGCACTAATTGTGAATACTTATTGTGCTTCTCTTAAGATTTCTAGAAATAGTAATATGCCACCACTATGTCTACTAAGTTTATTCCAATAGTCTAATTGTATTTTACAACTAAGGGCATCACTTAGTAGATTGTACAATTTGTGTATATAAATTATTGACGTACTTATTAACACTTAAGGTGGCTCGGGAGTCTTCCACCATTTTGGATTTTGAAATAGCAGATAACGTTGGTCTAGATATTTGATGAAATGTGCAAATTTTGAGAGTAGTATGTAATTTATATGTACGACTTTTGATGTAAATATAGAAAATTGTGTGTTTTATCATAATTGCGGCTGTAATTTCTAAAAAATACCTTATTTGTGTTTGATTAATTTTTTTGCAACTTTGCCAAATAAGGGGAGATAACCCAGATAAAGTTATTTTTATAAAAGAAAGTGTTGTGAATTTACCTATTTTAATCTGTAGCAAGAAAACAAGTTCGGTTACCCCGTTTTTTCTTTTTCTTATCTGAAAGCATGTTATAAGAGCTATCTTCTCACATTTTATCTTAAAATTCTATCATGTAGTTTTCTTTTTATCACACACAATTTAATTTTCCATGCATAATCTATGTAAAATCTGACAATTTTTCACAAACTGTAGCGTGAAAAAAAGTCCGGTGACCCATACTTTTTATTATATTTTTGAAAAAAGCATGATAAAAACTTCATTATGACAAATTATTAAAAAATTCTATCAATTTTAATTAAGACGCCCTAGCCACCTTAAGATACAGAAAACTGTTTAACAATAACTAATTTGTCAGTTCTTAACACTAGTTATTTGTTTTACCTCGCCAAGCTGTCTACTGTTTTTTTCCAAGCTCATTGTAAAATTTCTGAAAAGAGAGACGACATCGATTTATAGTAAAAATTCATATGATTAACATTTTACTTTCCACGATTTCACCCATAGAATAGAAATTAATAAATGAAATCAATTGAGACCAACAAATTTAAAATATTGCGCTAAAATAAGAAATTATGATGTTTATTATCAAAAAGTACAAAACAAAAGGCATATACATGTTTCTTAGTCAATGATCATTACACAACACCAACTTAAGTTGATAGAAATGTTTTTTGTTCTATAAGTAATCAGTTATGTTTGAATGACATGTTCAGATATATGTCATGTTCTTTAAACCTCATTATAATTTATTAAGATGTTATACTCTCACATTTTAGTTGATCCTTTTTTAAGAAACTGTATGCTGGTTATACATGCTAGAGATTAAGTAGAATATACACATTCAGTCGAAAAGGAATCGACATCCCTTAATTCAAACAGAACAAATTTGTCGAAGGACCATTTCGTATTACATGCAGTGTTAGACATGCAAATCATGAGTTTGTGTTTTTACAAAGAGATTGGAAAATGTCATCGATACTTAAAGCCTCCTCAACATGACATTTTCAAACTCGCTACAGCTTATTCAATCGTGGTTTCCTCTTACATGACATACGAAATAGTTATAAATAACAACAGATATTTAATGGAAAATTGTGCAAAATTGGTTAATTAGACAAAGTTTAGTTCAACACAATTTGAATGAGTTTTTGATAGCCGTTATATGTTGAGAGGGAACTATTCCTGATGATTTTACGTCAATAAGCTGTATAACCCCCCTTTTTTCTCGAATGTAATTAAAGTTCAGTATAACAAATTAGCCTTTCAGAAAGCTCAATTGACAGACAACCCTCACGTTATGAAGTAGTTAGACTTATTAGGGCTTTTGTATTCCCTTAAACTCTTGCATTGTTGCTTCAAAATCATAAACTGAACAAACAACATTGGAGCTAATCAATTATTTGTGGACTTGATTAGTTTCATTCTTATCAAGCAACTACTGACCTTCTGAGGTCTACAGACTCTTTGCCGTGTAAATGATAAAATATAGTCATTAATCCGATGGATAAAATTACTGTATATTCTCCAGGTATTACGGAAACTTTACAATCTTACTCATTGTAAAAAATTACACAATTGATGAACTGTTAACTAACCATACACATAATTTTTACCAAGGCCAGGACAGAATTGGTTAGAAATTTTTAGACAGTCGAAATTATGAATTTCCATATAAGTTGTTATTAAAACATGTTGTATCATTGCAATTGTACTAGCTACATCATCGGCATGAGTAAAGAATCAAAACATAGGGCAATTTGAAATGAGAATCAATCACAGCTTCTCCAATCAACATCAAAATCTAAAGACATGACTTATTGAGAACCTTACAATACACCACTTCAAATAGAATGGTTAAAACAGGCTTTACAGAAAAGGTGACGAAACCATTATGAACTTTTGGATTAATGTAGAAATAAATGTACGGCCTTGAAGGAAATAAAATAAGATTGTTGTAAAGAGTTTTTAAATTATAATTACTGCATTGTAATTTTTGGAAGGACAGCAGTGCAGGGGAAGAGAGCATTGTGATATCAGGAAATTTCAAATTTGCCGTTCAAATTGAGAATTGCATATATGTGAACAATGTTCATACGGGACTTTTAATTTATAATTTCAACATGTTCACTTCGGTTAGTTGCTTTAAAGGTGGCCAAGAAGATAAATATAGATCAAAAGCACATAGCGTCGACATAGACAACTACTATAGAGCTATTGAACTACCATTTTTCTTTTTTCGTTTCTGAAAATAAATTTGGTACAGGAGTTCGCGGATATTCTATTGTTCTGTTTTTACCAACTTAGAACCATTTCAATGTGTATCATTAAATATTAATTGTAGATCAGCTTTCAAATTATAATCCTTAATAATTAGTTGGTTACTAATTTAGCCGTTATGACAAGCATCAAATTTCTTCTACAGTCGACTCATTCGTCATTACTAGTGTTAACACTTTTATAAGTTTCGATATTCTGTCATTTGTTTTTGCTGAGTTTATCCCGACTATTTCACACCGACTTATGTACATACTTCGCTACTGTGAACAACAAAACAATATCTTGTTGAGTGCGGGGATAAAATAGGTGCATGATACATGTATTAAGAAATGTCACAAGACTAAATGAATACCAAATTCGACCTTTTCAGCGTTCCTGATGAAGGTTAATTCAGAAAAGCCATTTGATCGAACAAAATTCATTAAATCTTTTGTTTTTGTTTTTTTCATTTTGAGTAATCTTCATTATCTATTCTGAATACACACTTATTTTGGAAGGCATCTAGTTAACCTGAACACAAGGAATTTATTTTTCAAATGTAAACTAGTTTTAAAAGTTTTCAGTAAAATTACTGTCAAGAAAAATCAACTGGAATCATCTGGCTGAATGCAGATAGGGAGATTATAAATTGATATCAACTATTATATCACTAAGAAAACAACGCGCATGAAGGGCAAACAAACTAAAAAAGGCGCTGATCCATGTCTATTACATGCTTATCTATGTTTTGTTTTTCATTGGTCTCATTCACAACTCTTAGAAGGGCTATTAACATATACACAACTTTGCTAATACATTAAATGCGCTTTATTTTTCCTGAATCTTGAATCGCTGGTAAAAATGGCTCATGCCAGGGTGCCTATTTTGCAATCAAATGATTTTCAAAGCCTTGTTTTCGTGTCTTGCACAGCTGTAATCAGATTTCTTTGTTATCATTTATTGGTACATGTAAGTGAAGGGCACACCATGATATTGTTTGAAGGGAAAGGGCAGGTACAACGTAGAGAACATATTCAAATAGATTCCTACAGCTTGTTTCTTCTGCATAAGCTGTGACACTACAACATATGACGAGTTATCATTTCAGATCACCTGGTCCAGAAGCCTTTTTCACGTGTTCCTAGAGGCTAGGACTCAAGTGTTTAAACACGAGCACTAGACTCTCAATGCCTTTTTCACGTGTTTCTAGAGGCTAGGTCTCGAGTGTTTAAACACGGGCACTAGGCTCTCAATGCCTTTTTCACGTGTTCCTAGAGGCTAGGTCTCGAGTGTTTAAACACGGGCACTAGGCTCTCAATGCCTTTATCAAGTGTTCCTAGAGGCTAGGTCTCGAGTGTTTAAACACGGGCACTAGGCTCTCAATGCCTTTATCACGTGTTCCTAAAAGGCTAGGTCTCAAGTGTGTAAACACGGTCACTAGGCTCTCAATGCCTTTTTCACGTGTTCCTAGAGGCTAGGTCTCGAGTGTTTAAACACGGGCATTAGGCTCTCAATGCCTTTATCACGTGTTCCTAGAGGCTAGGTCTCGAGTGTTTAAACACGGGCACTAGACTCTCAATGCCTTTATCACGTGTTCCTAGAGGCTAGGTCTCAAGTGTTTAAACACGGGCACTAGGCTCTCAATGCCTTGTTTACGTGTTCCTAGAGGCTAGGTCTCAAGTGTTTAAACACGAGCACTAGGCTCTCAATGCCTTTATCACGTGTTCCTAAAAGGCTAGGTCTCAAGTGTTTAAACACGGGCATTAGCCTCTCAATGCCTTTTACACGTGTTCCTAGAGGCTAGGTCTCAAGTGTTTAAATACGAGCACTAGGCTCTAAATGCCTTTTTCACGTGTTCCTAGAGGATAGGTCTCGAGTGTTTAAACACGGGCACTAGGCTCTCAAGGCCTTTTTCATGTGTTCCGTGTTTAAACACGGGCACTAGACTCTCAATTCCCTTTTTGCGTTGTTCTAGTGGATCGGCCTCTTGTGTTTAACCAACCAACCAACCAACCATTACATGCTTGTTGTGGTCCCTTGTGTTTAATACAGGTCCGAGATCTCATTTGTTTCGTGTTTGCTTGTTTCAAGCGACCCTATCCTACGTGTGTAATCAATCAATCAATCAATCAATCAATCAATCAATCCATCAATTAATCAATCAATCAATCATGTTTCGGAGGGGAAAGACCGTGTACAATTGTTTTTAAAACAATTGATTTATATTTATTATTATATTATTAGGTCTTTCCACTTTTCGGTGGAAAGGACCTTTTGTATTTGTTCTGATTATTATTATTATTATTATTATTATTATTAGGTCTTTCCACTTTTCTGTGGAAAGACCTATTGTATTTGCTCTGATTATTATTATTATTTTTTTTTTTTTTCCGCCAACTTTTGAAATTTTTGTTTCGCAAAATGTCGCTTAGATATTTCTCATATTGTATCGTATAGTTTATACAGTTTTAAATTTCACCCTGCTAAGCCGAACCATTTTCTTTGCAAGAGTTATCTCCCTATTCACTGTTTATCATCTGTGTGCATCTCCTTCGTAACAAAAAAAGATATCGACAAAATTCTTTTTCTAAATTGTTTGTTACATCCTCAGAAATTTTTGCCTAATTTGGATCGAAGCGATCCAGTGAGATCTTAAAGGAGTTATCTGCCTTTACCAAATTAATTTGTCGTTATGTTTTTGTAACACGTAAACCGTAAGCCGTATAAAATTTTTTTTTACCAAAATGTTAGTCGCGACATGATATAACTGGAAAGTTTTTGTCAAAATGGTACGCGTCACTGTTTTTAGGGGTTCCATGTCACTGAAATAGTAAAATGAACAAAATGAACTAATTATAGCCTCAAACTTTGCAGCTATCATGATGTATACATGTATAGATGCATCTTATCTTAATTTATCAACCAAGGTCCACCATCCTCGACCTCCCGTTATCATGCATTAAAATACAAATCTATGCTCCCGTAAACATGTGTACGTAAGATTGCATGCATCAATGACCTGTAAATAATAAAACCAATAGTGATCATGTTTGTCCGATCAGTACACATGTGCTGTGTTCAACGGTCTCCCCTGAAACTCCAGACATATATATTCGAGGGTCACGTGAATTCACAACACCATCTCGCGCGCGGACCTAAATTTAGAATAAA